AAGGTGGGGTTAATATAGCGATAATTGTGATTGGCTCCCCCTTTCTGTCACCCACCCCCTTCCCCTTCCCCTCCTGGTATTGTTACTCTCATTATTGGTCCTGAGGGGTTTATCTATCCTGGATTCCCTGTGTTGCGAGCTCTTATTTGTACCACTATACATGAGCTGACCTAGCCGGATTTGTAAGGTAGAATTTGGTTCATGATAGTGAGGGATGAGGAAGCATTAAAGAACTAGAGGAAAGTTGTGTGTTTCGTCCGTGTTATACTGCACCCTGGCTGGCTCATCTCTTCCTTGTGACTCTTCTGTAAGGGAATGTCCAATTTTCTACAGATGGGCTTTGGGTCTCCACTCTGCCCTCCCCCTTTCACATCGATATGATTTTTTGTTTTGGGTCTTGATGCCTGATACCTGATTCCATCAACATCTCATGATCACACAGGCTGATGTGTTTCTTCCATGTGGGCTTTGTTGCTTCTCAGCTAGATGGCCACTTGGTTATCTTCAAGCTTTTAAGACTCTAGACGCTGTATCTTTTGATAGCCGGGCACCATAAGCTTTCTTCACCACATTTGCTTATGCATCCGCTTTGTCTTCAGTGATCATGTCAGGGAAGGGGAGCATCACAGAATGCCAGGTTATTAGAACAAAGTGTTCTTGCATTGAGGGAGTACTTGAGTAAAGGCTCAGTGTCCATCTGCTGTGTTAATACTTAGAAAATATATGTACATAGATCTATTTCCCTTTTGTTATATATAAATGTATTTACATATATATATATATATGCCTGTATTTAGACTTCTATAAATGTCTTTTGCCTCCTAGTTCTTTCCTCTATTTCCTTTTACTTTCCTCTTGTCTGGGATTTCATGGCTTTGTCCCCTTGCTGCTCTATTTTGCTCCCAGTGTATGTATGAGTGTGTGGGAAGGGGGTGGGCGGGAAGGGGGGTTTTCAGACCAGGCACACTGTGTCTCTAGTACTGTTCCTCCTAGCTCTCTGGGTCAGTGAGGGGACACTGTGTCTCTTAGTGGGGCCAGCCCTCCTTCTGTCCTCTCTGTGCATTGGCTGCTTCAAGCAGGAATGTCATCCTTGGGGCTTTGGTGGGTGGGCCAGTATGCTGTTCTCTCTTTCTCTCTCTCTTTCTCTCTCTCCTTCTCTCTGAGTTTGCTCCCATGTAGTCTGAGCAGACCTGCCCGTCCCCAAGTTGTATCTTCAGTGCTGTCCTCTGTGGTGCATTCTTCTGGGAAGGGGCTTCCATGTAGCTGGGACTGGGGCAGACCACTCTGTTTGTTGCTTCATGGTCATGTTTTGCCTTCAAGGCTTGGCGCTCCAGGTTGACCAGTCACTCTCTCGTAGGTCCAATTTTACCTGGATTTCATCCCTTTAATTTCACTGCTCCAACCCTTCTGAAGGCCCTTCTAAAGCAGAAGAATGCCTATCATTGTTCTTGATCTTAAGAAACCTTGCTTAAGCTATAGTGAAAGACAACAACAACAAATCCTCTCAGGAGTATGAGCTTCATCTCTTTGTTATTCTTTATTGATGAACATATTCACTGATCAAAATGAACCAAAAAAATGACACAGAAAAAAATCCATTCAATAAAACGATATAATACTTCTATGGCATTTTGATAACCTAAAATGTGGCAACAAAATTATGACTATCCCGCTGCCCTTCTCCAAAAGGTAGAGTCACGTTCCTCAATGTATTGGAATTTTTTCCTCTCTTGGGTTGAGAAAAGTTTACCTTTTATTTGCCATCTATGAAAAACACAGTCTCACCAGTTAAGACAAAAGGTAGACTGCTTTAAATTCCCAGAAGAATGAAGATTAGCACGGATGTCAGAACGCTAAGAACACTGGCTGTTGGTGTAAATCAGAAACTAACTCCTTGGGGTTCTGAAAAGTGGGGTCATTAGCTGGAGAATTAAACCAGCTTCCCCTAGGGACTCAACTGCTATAACTTGCACTAGCTAACATTTGCCCTTTCGATGGAGACAGAATTCTGTGATGTAATACTAACGAAAGAGCTAAGTGGGAGGGGAGTGCGGAAATGACAGAGGGTCGATATGTACTGATAATGTGGTCGGGTTACATAGGTATTTATTTATTGGCTTAACCTGGGCTGAAAGGAGAGTAATTAGCAAAGTATTATGGTTTGTGCCAGTGTGTAAATGCACATATGTAAATCTGCAGGTTATCATATTCCTACTGAAAAAATTATGACTACCAATTTTACAGTCTTTTCTTCTGCTGCTTGCCCTGTTCACATTAGAAAACTAGAAAATTCTTGTTTTATCTTCTTCCACGTTGTATACTTTTTCTAGTGCTAGAAAAACTTTGTCCCACTAGATGACGTGCCCCCTTTGATCATTTGTCCCCCAAAGAAAGAGTAGAAAACCGAGGTCACTAAGAGTGGTCACCAAGGTAAGAGGAGTGACATTTTCTCTAGCTTTTCACTAAATAAAAGCACAGAATCTTCCCGTTCCAATGTCCTGCATTCATTTAAGGCTCTGGACCTGAAGGAGACAGGGAGATGCCTGTCCGTTGCTCAAGAAAGTACACGGAAGTGTTGTGCTGTTCTTTTTGCATCCTTTTCGCCCTACTCTTTTGGAGCTGAAGAGGACAGAGGGTTCTGAAGCCCTACCTACCATCACACATTATTCCTCCCTTTACTCTGAGTATGTAACTCTTATTTTAGAAAAGGCAACCAATTTTGTCAATCAGCAGAATATAATGCTACTATAGGACGAATGCTTTAATAATAAAATCATAAAATGTATGGCTCTTAGCTAAAAGTTGAGAATACCAGAAAAATGTTTACCTGTGTTTTATTAATTACGCAAAGGCATTTGACTGTGTGAATCTTAATAAATGATGACATTGCAAAGAATGGGAATTACAGAACACTTAATTCCCTTCATGCAGAAACTGTGCAAGACAGAGAGCGATCGCTCAAACAGAACAAGGGGACCTTGTGTGGTTTAAAACCAGGAAAGGTGTGTGTCAGGGCTTTATCCTGTGACCACACTAATGCAATCTGTGTGCTAAGTGAATAATCTAAGAAACAGTATTTATGAAGAACACAGCTTCATAGTTTAAAGTAGACTCATTAACAACTGCAACATGAAGCGGACACAATCTCACTTGCTGAAAGCCAAGGGGCTTTTAATCATTTACTGATGAAAATGGGAAAATACGGCTTTCAATATAGATTCTATCTTAGTATAAAGAAAACAAAAATCTTTACAATTGGGTCAATAAGCAATAGCATGATAAACAGAGAAACGATTGAATTTGTCAAGGATTTCATTTTACTTGGCCCACAGTCAATACCCATGGAAGCAGCAGTCACGAAATCAAACAAAGTATTATATTGGACAAATCTTGTGAAAAAAATCTTTAAAGTGTTAAAAAAAATTAATATTTAACCTTGAGAACTAGGGTGCACCTAACATGAACCACGTCATTTTCAATCACTCCACATGCATGAAAAAATATAGAGCGTGACTAAGGATGATGAAAGAAAAATTAATGGTAGTAGTGGCATTACTGAATACCCATGGATTGTCCGAAGAACTAACTAATTTGGGAAAAGTACAGACAGAAAACTCTGTAGTAGAAAAGATGGCAAGACTGTATCTCACATACTTTTAGAAGGACCAGTTCCTGGAGAAGGACAGCATGCTTGACTGAGGGTTAGTGGAAGAGACGAAGACCCTCAGCAAGATGACTGACCCTGAGGCAACAAGATCGGTCACAAACAGAGGGCTGGTTGTGAGGCTGACCCCGGGCCAGGTAGTGGTGCTCCTGCTGTATATCAGGTCACTGAGAGTTGGAACCAGCTCAATGGCACCTAACAATATAACAACAGTGGCCATCAAGTGGATTCTGACTGTTGGCCCCCCATTTGTGTCAAGCTAGATCTGTTCTCCATCGTGTTTCCAGTGGTTGATATTTCAGAAGTAGATCACATGCCCTTCTTCTGAGGTGCCCCTGGGTAGATTCTAACCACCAACATTTTGGTTGCCCGCCTGGTGCATTAACTGTTTTTACTGCTCAGGGACTTTGTTTTAAGAATGTTACTGGTGTTGCTTTAATAATTTAGACTATTAATAAAATATATCAAACAAATATTCAGGGGTAATATAGATATCTAGAACTCTATTTGCATATGATTGGTTGTATATAAAGAAAAAAACCAAGTACCAGTCTCAATGTCAATGCATGGGTATGAGAAATAATTAAATTTATCAGAAAGGAATTTACAGAGGTTGATGTATACTGTGCTGGTCATTAGTGGTCCAAATGAAAAGGCTGTAAGGTGGCTGCAAGGTGGCATCCCTGGGGTGGTGCAGAGGATGATCATGCTCAACTGCCAACCAACAGATGGGAAGTCGGAGTCCACCCCAAGGAATCTTGGAAGGATCATGAATGGCGATCTACTTCCAGGAAGTGAACCCCTGAAAACCCTGTTGAGTGCAGTGACACTCTCACACACATGCAGTCACCAGGAGTAGGAAATGGCTCACTGGCAACTTTTTAACCTACAAGGAAGGAAGGGGCTCCACTAGCCAGGAGTCAAGGCTTACCTTCCCATGCCTGGTCCACCCCTCTTCCCAGTCCATTCCTGATGGCTCCTTGCAAGATGGTTTTCCCTATCCTGGCTGCCAAGCACTGCCTCACCGCCCTGCACTCCCTGGACTCTCAGGTGCAGAGCGGCAGTAGTTGAGTGATTCAAAGCATTCTTAATATAGCCACCCTTGGTCTAGATAAAAGATTCCGGGTGGCATAGTGGGTTATGCATTAGGGTGTCACCTACAATATCATCTGTTTGAACCCATCAGCTACTCCTTGGGAGAAAAATGAGGCTGCTTGCTCTTACTAAGATTGACAGCCACAGAAACCCCATATACGGGGACTCTGGGTCAGAGTCAACATGATGGGCAGTGGGATCCGTTTGGGTCTAGTTAAGGAAGGGCTGTTGCAAAGTATACCTTCGCATGCCGACACGTCAGTGCTATCCTCTTCCTGGTTCGCGAGCACGCGGCTGAATTTGGGTTTCTGCTCCGAACCTGTCTGCTTTCTTCTCTCGGGTGGTCCTCCAGAACGGAAACTCTGCGAGCGTGACACAGAGATCTCAAATTGCTTGATCACCTCCTCGTCACTGCCAGACGATGTGGACAGCTCCTCATCATCCCCAAAGCTGTTCACTGGAAAGAAACAAAAGCGTGTGAGTCCCTGCATGCCCAGGGTGCTCCAGGACAGAGGTAGACATTCTGGGGAAACGGAAAATAAATATGGACAATTCGCCTGGATGAAAGCAGGCCCCCAGAGGAGAGAAAGAATGTCAGCCCTCTGGAAACACAAGTGGAAGTCCAAAGGCATGAACCGAGAAAAGAACGCTCAGAGAAATAATTCGGAATGTATGGCTAGAACCCAGGAGAAACCATTGGGACCCGCACAATCAGCATAATGAGGCCTCTCATTGAGCCAAGCAACCTTGCTCATTTGCTCGGTTGCTTACATGTGTTCCTAACTTGGAAGAGGACAGCGAACAGCCCATTTGCCTTCTGTGCATTTCTGTCAATGACGATGGGAAATATGTTCTTTGCCACACCTCATTTATTAAAACACACAGAACCAAGCCCCGCTTCAGAGGTTTTCCAAAAGTTTTCTAGTTTTGAAAATGAGAGCACCATATTATGCATGCATTTAAAAATTGCTCTGGGGGCACTGAGATTTTGTTCAGGGTCGTGAAAAAAAATTGGAAGTGGTTAATGGCAATGATTGCACAATGTAATTAAAGTCATTTAATTGTATGGGCACAAAAAAAGTCGAAATGGCAAATGTTGGGTTTTTTTAATGCTTATACTTAAATAGAAAAGTCAACCAATCCATTGCTGTCAATTTTATTTCAACTCAAGGCAACCGAATAGGTGAAAAATATGACTGTCAGCGCCTGCAGAGTTATAGCCTCACAACCTGATAGAAGGTCCCTATGAGTTTGAATCAGCATGGTGGGATGTGGGATGGGTTTGGGTCTAAATAACAGAAGGGCGGGGGCCCATAGGTGAAAGAGCAGAACTGCTCCATAGGACTTCCTGAGCCAGAAACCCTATAAAAGCAGGTTGTCAGGCACCGGGGGGAAACTACCAACATTTACATTAGTTATTGAGCATGAAGTGTCTGCACTATCCAGAGACTTTATACTTACCACAATCATAATAATAAGCTAGTTTGTACTAGAAATATCTTAGACCTTTCTCTATGTCCAACCCATCCCATGGTACTGTCAATATTCTTTTCCAGCGCCATAATTCAAATGCATAGATTCTGCTTCAGTCTTTCTTATTCAATGTAGGAATTTCACGTGCATGTGAGGTGATGGAAAATATCATGGCTTGGGTGGGGCACCCCTTAGTTCTCAAAGTAAAATCCTTGCTCTTCAACATTTTAAAGAGGTCTTGGGCAGCAAATTTAACCAAAGCCACGCGCCATTTGATCTCCTGACTGCTGCTTCCACGAGCTCTGAATGTCGATCCAAGCAAGATGAAATTCTGGACAACTTCAATCTTTTCTTTGTTTATCCTGGTGTGTTTGTGACCTATTGATCCGGTTATGAGGATTTTGGTCTTTTTGACATTGAGTTGTAATCCAGACTGAAGGTTACAATCCTTGACCTTCATCAACAAGTGCTTCATGTCCTCCTCACTTTCAGCAACCAAGGTGCCATCCATGAAAGGACCATAGACTGACCCAAAAAAAAAAAGCCTGTCTTGGAAGAAGTTCAGCCAGAATGCTCCTTAGAGGCAAGGGTGGTGAGACTTTTGTCTCACGTACTTTGAACATTCTGTCAGGAGAGACCAGTCATGAGAGAAAAGCATTGTGCTTGGTAAAGTGGATGATCAGGATAAAAGAGCCCTTGACGAGGTGGACTGACGACAAAGGGGCTGCAGCATTGAGCTCAAATATAAGGGCAACTGTGAGGCGGGCAAGGGACCAAGAAGTGTTGCACTCCATTGTACAGCACCCAACAACCACCTCCAACCCAAATGCGTCTGGAATGATTTGCACCACTTTCTCCGCGTCCTCCAGACCGCAGCGCACTGGCCTTCCTTCTGTTTCTCCAAGTGCCAGAATTGCTCCTGCCTTTAAGGCTGTTGCCTTCGTTGTGCCTTCTTGAACCTTCCTCCCACAAAGTTTTGCATGGCTGGCTCATCCTCATTATTCAGTACCCCACCCCATGGATTGTCATTTCATCCTGAATGATCGTCTGAGCATCCTACCATAAGCAGTTCTCTGTGTAGCACCTGACATATTCTTTCTGGACTCTCCCCATTAATTAACGTGAAGTAAAGATGGTGCCCACTTTTTTTAAGCAACGTGTCTCAATTATGAAAAATAATGCCCAATAGAGAGTAACTGCTTGATACAGTCTTGTTGATTACTGAATGTCCCGTGGTCTCCCAAGGTGGCGCAGCCACCCTGATGTGTACTGTTCCCTGTGCCCTGAGTGTTCTCTAATCCCCTCTATGCCTGACTAACTCATCATTCAGGTTTCAGCAAAGACATCACTTCCTCCAAAAAGCCTTTCCTTAGCTCCTTAAATCAGATTAAGGTCTCCTTCCATGTGCTTAAAAAAAAAAGCTCTCTGTTCTCCAATCGTCACCTTTCTGCCTTGTGGCAGCATTGCTTGTCTAATGGCCAATCCTTTCCTGTGTACACTGTGAGGCTACAGCCTCAGGCTGACACATGACAGACAACTCTGTACACATTTGGGAACTTGGAAATGATGAGGGATTTTTTTTAAAGTAATTTCCTCCTTCCATCTAAAAGTCACACAATAATTTCGAGGAAGAATATGCTTGTTGATTCACAGATGGTCTCTGAAGATCATTTCTGAATCAGAAGCTTTGAAAAAACTTTTAAAAACTATATTTTAAGTGAGAGAAAAATACTTCTAAAACACCAGCCTGGCCAACACATTTATTCTGTGACTTGGTTTAAGAACTGATATTCCTACAGTTCTTTGGCAAACCAGCAATGAAAAGCAGCAAATTCTTACCGAGCTTTTGCCATGTGTCAGGCAGTGTCCTAAATGTCTCTCTTACATCATCTCATTCAGTCCACAGAAAGCCCCCATAGCCTTCCTCTATCCCAAGTAAGAAAAGTGAGGCTGTGGGGCATGCACAGCTGACTGAAGAAGATCAACTGTAAGCAAGGGGTGGAATCAAGACTGGAATCAAGACAGCTTGTCTCAAACTGCCAACCCCACTGCCACTGAGCTGATTCTGACTCACAGGAAGGCTATAGGAAGAGTAGAACTGTTCCCTAGGGTTTACCAGGGTATAAATCTGTACAGGAGCAGAAAGCCTCGTCTTTCTCCTGTGCTTCCAATAGCAGTTAGGAGCCCAAAGTGGAACTAACTAAGTCTCCAGGGCTCCTTAACCTGTCCCAAGAGCACATATATTCCTAACTACTTGGCTGGAGATTAGTATAAAGAAACAAAAATCCTCATAACTGGACCTAAGAGACAGCATGGTAAATGGAGAGAAGAGTGAAGTTGTATTTCACTCGAGTCCGCACTCAATGCCCATGGAAACAGCAGTCAAGAAATCAAAGGACATAATACTTTGGGCAAATCTGTTTTACAATGCCTTAAGAGCAAAACTGCCACTTTGAAATAAATGATTTATGCCACGGTATTTCCAGTCACCTCCTATGTATTTGAACCAGGAAGACAGGAAAAGAACGGATGCATTTAAATGATGATGCCGAGGAAGAATATTCCCAGCAGCACAGACTGTCAGAAAAACAGACCAATCGGTCGTGGAGGAAGTAAAGGCAGAATGCTTCTTAGAAGCAAGGCTGGTGATACTTTGTCTCACCTACTTTGGACATGTTATCAAGAGAAACGAGACCCAGAAGGGAGCCTCATTAGAGGACCACTGAAAAAGAGGAAGCCCATCAACAAGATGGATTTGCACGTGGCTGCAACAGTGGGCTCAAGCATGACCATGTGAAGAAGGAGGGGCTTCATTCCATTGCACGCAGGGCCTCTGGGAGGCAGAGTTGACTTGGTGGCACCTACTAACAGCGTGCTGGCGGCCCAGAGAGAAATGGTGGAGCAAACTCTTGCTTCGTGTGCTCACAGTCACTAGGTAAATCCCTCTGACCAAGCCCCTGACCTTCTCTGGCCCTGTCTCCTTATTTGTGGAGAATTTTTTGAGATCTGGGTCCTTTCCCAAACCTTTTCTATCTCCAAAATTCTGTGATTCTAAACTTCCTGGCTAGTAGGCATTACCATGTGAGCATTTTCCCATTGTTAACAAAAGCACCTATCTGCCCTCTCACTTAATTCTCTTGGGTATATCCAGCCCTGCGGTAGTACCCAAAAAGGTAAAATAAAAATTTTAAAAAGACCAAAATGGACACGGCGATACACAGATCACGTGAGGATCATCTACAAAGCCAGGACTAGCCAGAAAATCCAAGGACTAAGAAGAAGGAAGGGATGGCACGACCCGAAACACTGATTTCCTGGACTCAGTCTCGAGAACCGTGAGAAATAAACATCCTTCTTTAAAACCGCAAAAAAAAAGAGACAAATTTCCAAGTAATACTCTAATAAACTGGAGGGGAAATCCTCTCTGATGTGCATGCTTTGTCTCAAAAGCCCCTCAATGAACAATCTCCTTGTGCCTCAGTGTGCTGTGCGTGACACTGTGGTGAGAGAGGGGTCATCACATAGGAGAGCACTAGGCAGAGGCTAAGAGGAAGGAGTACCACTAAAGACACAACGCATGTACGACGGGCTCAAACCCAGGAGTGGCTGTCAGGAGGGTGGAGGGGTGTGGAGGGCTTTGTTCTGCTCTCCACTGACTCGATAGCCCCTTTAAAGGACACCAACAAGCACCCGGGAGGTGGTCAACAGGATGCATCAGGGAAGGAGTGGTCGAGTCAGACAGCTGTTGGAGTTCCTTCCAACTCTGCTTCCACTGGACTTGCTGTCTTAGGCCTATTTTAACCAGCGAAAGTTGTCACCAGTCATTCACTTCAAATTGGGTGAGTTGAACCGTGATATAGCTCAATCTGCAAAATAATACAGGTGGGCAATTTACTGGTATGTAGTCCTGAAGTGTACTATCCCCAACCAGGAGTCACGGGTCATCCACAGACCATATGTTCTTTTCATGATATCATATTTATC